ATGTGCCTGGATATTACCCCATTAATGCTCATTCAAGCTCAAACACTGCATGACAGTCACATGAGAAGGTTCTACAAAAGAGACCATCTCCTTTCAATGAGAAATCTCCTATAATAATAAAAAGTGCTCAGCAAAAATGAAGAATTCCCTACCTTGAACACATTAAGCTGCTGGTTGATGGTCTCTGTTTCCATAGCAACGGGGCCTTGAGACTCCTCCAGTTCTTCGGCCTTCTGAAGCAGAGTGGAAAATTCCTTCCATTTGCTGTAGAAATCGCCGAGACGCTCAATTGTCCCGTCCACCTGCTCCTCTCTGGCTTGTGCTCGGTCCAGCAACTTGTTGCACTGTTTGCTGAGAGCCTCCAAGTCCCTTTTGATCCCCACAAGATCAGGAGAGGTTTCTTCCGTGGCCAGCATCAGCTTGCAGGTTTTGTTGGCATTGTCGTTGCTAGCTATGAGGGCTTCTAGTTTCTTCCGGAAGGCCGTAATGGCCTCCTTCTGCTTTTGTAATGTCTCTACATCTCTCCCCACTGGGGCCATGCTGTCCAGTTCATCATCAAACTCTGCAAACTGAGAAAACATTTCCCGGATGGTATTCTGGAAATGTCCAATACCCTGAAGCTTGGTTTCTAAGAATGAACACTTCTCATCAACCTGCTGACTTAGGACATTATGCTCTTGAGCTAAGGTTTCTGCTTGTAATAAAACATCAGAGGCTCCCTTTGAGTCTGAGGCTTCCGCCACCAGGTCCTGTGCAAGGCCTTTGGCCAAATCTACCTGTTGCTTTAAGGTCTGAAGTGATTTCTGCTGAGTCTGCAACATGGTCAGGTATTTGCTACTGTAAGCCTGGGGTCCTAGAGACTCATGGGCCTCTAGCTGTTCCTTTGCATACTGAAGCTGCCTTTTAGCTTCTTTGGACACTTCTTGAAATTCTTTAAACTTCTGGGCCATGTTCTCCAGAGAGAATTTCTTAGTGTGAAGTTGTTCAGTGACCATGTCTACCTTCTGGTTCAGTGATTTATTCTCTTCTGTAACCACCTCTTTATCGGTCTCACAGACACTGAGCAAGCTGTTAGCTGCGTTGTTCAGCAATTCCACCATCCCGAAGTGCTGGTCCATGTCCTTCTGCAGAGACTTTAACTTGGCCATAGAATTCTCTGTGTCAGCAGGATCCAGGTAAAATTGTATCTCCTCCAGGCTATGCTGACATTTATCTATCCATGGCCGGAGAGTCTCCACGTGTTCTTTATACTTGAGGGCTTTCCCCAAGCAATCTTTTACCTTGTCTTCTCTTTCTTTCACCTGCTTATTCAATCCATCCCAATTGGTTTTAATTGTGTTAAGTTGTAACTGTAAGGCTGCCTTCTCAGACCCTTGTGTTTCTAACAACAGGTTTTCACCTTCTGCAATGGTTTTTTCATAAATACTAGACTGAGTAGTCAATGTTTTATTGAAGTCTTGCTGATCTTTCATTAAGGACTCCAAGACATCGAGTTTAGCTGATATTGGGTGAGACTTGTGTAGTTCTGCCTTCTTTGTATCCAGCCAAGCCTGAAAATCTCTAGACATCTGCTGAAACTGATGAGAGCTGGCACAGGCCAACTGAAGGTGCTGGACATGATTCTCTAAAAATGAAATTACAGGCATGTTTATTTTACATCAAAATGCTGATTTAATCTATGAAAAGCCAAAAGGAAAATCACCAAATAAGTGTGCAGGACTGTCTAAAAGCAAGAGTTTTCTCAGCACTGACTATGGGAACTACACGTTATTGACAAAGGGGGTAAAGGGAGCAAGAGGTAGGGGCGGCAGCAACAACAAAAAAGACAATCAAGGTGAGGGGGAGGGGGACGATGGGAATCGGGAAACTGCGTAAAGGTGCAGCGTGGCAGAGGACGAGCAGAGGACAGTCACACGCTGTCTGCTCTGCCAGGTCGTCTCCATTCCAGTAAGTGGAAGTGACAACTGTTCACAGTTCTAAGTATGCGAATAAGTAATCCATCTCTTATCAAATATGACTGCTTCAATTCTATGACTTGTACATTATCATGGGGACAATATAGTGAAGCCCACAGGAACAGCGTGGGTTTGGGTCTCACCTCAACCTCTTAGGACCTCTAAGCCTTACTTCCCCAGATGTAAACAGGCAACACTCGGAAAAGCTGTTGTGGCCATTGAGGGACAGTACCTGGAAAGTTCTTGGCTTAATGCCTATCACATAAAAGTGTCCATAGCAGTAATAATCATAATCTCAATAGCTAATATTATCAATATGATGTCCAAGTGAATGAGTAAACCTAACTGATTTGATCAATAAATAAACCCAATCAATTAAAAAGTCTGAACGGAGTCTTTACTAGGTTGCAAGACACCTAGGTCCATGGTTCTCAACCTTGGCTGTACATTAGAATCACCTGGGCCTGAAATCAGGCTTTTAAAAAGATTCCCAGCTGATTCTAAGGTGCAGCCAAGGTTGAGAACCACTGACCTAATGTTACTTTTCAAGCAGTGTTACAGACACAGTGTTACAGACACAGCAGTTAAATGTGCTCCTCCTGGGCAGGCCCCTCTGACGTCAGTAACACTGCTGCTGCCTGGGACAAACCCTGGTCCACATGGAATCGGGGCCACAGGAGGCGAGAGGAAAGTAGAGCCACACGCTTCACTTCCACACATTTCTCTAGAAATGCCAATTTCTGGCAGAGGCAGACAAAATAGCTGCAGATGAGATAACGAGGCAACGCCTTTTTGATAACAGTACTCATCTGTTTATCTGGTGACATAATTCTATCACACAGCAACGCAACATTTACGTCTTTTAAAAATCAAAGTGGAATACCTGAAATCTGAATGGGCCTTCGTCAAGCGGATTTTGCCAACACTGTCCCTCCACTGTCTGCATGGAACGACCCTCACTGTGTGTGCCCATGAACACACCTGCTCTCCACACTCGTGTGAGCGGCCTCCTCTTCACATATGCTCCCGATGGGGACAGGTTCTCTCTAGGGTCCCAGATTCCTGGCAACCGCTTGGAAATAGACCACCTAAGATCTCTATTTCCAGGAAATAGATGTGTGAAAAGAAGAGAGACAAACCTGCTCTTTGTTCAATATCCTTGAATGACTTTACGATGCCGTCTAGCTGCCTACTGAGTTCTGCTTTCAGGTACTCCTCTTTAACCAGGGCTGACAACTCCTCACAGAGGGCCTGGGCCACTTGTATCTGCTTCGCCTCCTGCTCTATTTCCTGCTTCATTTTCTGGGCTGTCTCCAACTGCTGGCTCATAGCATCAGGGTGTGTGCTCACAGCCACACTGCTGCTGAGCGTGTGGTCCAAGTCGCCCAGTTTATCAGAAAGGCCTCTCAGCAGGCTTTGGTACTGTGTGCTTTTGACAATGGCTTGGTCGATCCAGTCACATCTGTCACTCAACTGTCCTGTGAGGCTGTCCCATTTCTGGGTCACAGCTGCTAGCTGCTCTCTCACAACCCCATGGAAAGCAGGGTGTTCACCAGGGCGGCTCAGAATGCCCTGGCCCGCTGCCGTGAGCTGCTCATACTGAGGTTTCCGGGTATCAAATTCTTGCAGCAGAATCTAAGGTAAAGAGGAAATGAGGGTAAATAAATGCACAAATTACTGAATAATTAAATGCAGAAAACACAGCTCTAAGTTTCTAAAGAGACAGAAATGCTACTTACTTATCTAGTTTTCCTTTTTGAGGTTTAGCTACTGCTTTCCTACTTTTGATTTTGAGGGCAGTGCAAGTACCTTAAAGTAATCGAAAAAGCTCTGGTGCTTCACAGAGATAACATTTTGCCCAAAATAAGATCCCCCAAAGTGGAAAACAAAGCGGATAAATATTTTCAGCAGTCTGGCCAAAAGGAACAAAAATTCATGTACGAATTTTCATACAGAAGGGAAACACTGCTATTGGACAAGTTCCCATCGCACTAACACAGATTTGTTGTTTTCCTACTTGTACTTTTCTCTTTGTAGGATTTTAAAAATTACAGCATTTTACACCAAGGGAGTTAAGACTAGATTAACTCATGGTGCATTGATTTACAAAGGTTTCTTTGAGCGTAAGGTTTACGGACAGTCTTTATAATCATGGTTTTAAATCATGTTGCTCAGAATGTCCAAGCTCAACATTGGCTCTCATTATAAAATGGAAGATCCAAACATTTTATTACAATCTTTTAACTATCTCTGAGAGACTACCAGGATTGGGGGCGATTATTTCTCCCTAACTGTTTATGTACAGCTTTTGTTTCCATCCTCTTCACATGGAGAATGTACATGGATTTGTATCTTCCGAGTCCAGGATCAGCCTGCCTGCTCTAACACCACTCCTCACACATACAGACATCTCACCGCAACCGTAACAGAGCTTCTGCGATTCCAGCCGCCTTAAATTTTATGGATGCTTTTCCCCTTGTGGATTTATTCCCTTATAATTAGTCTAGTCTAACTAACCCCCTGGGTTTCAAGGTTCCCTCTCTGCTTCCTTATTCTTTCTCCTCTTATTCAGTTTCTCTCCCCACCCTCCACCCCGCCCCGTCAAGACTGCACTGCATGAGTCTTACAAGTTTCATTATCTACTACCACACTCAAAATAAACAAAACCTCAAAGGAGTCATTTCTAAACAATAAAAAGCATATACTAGCTTCTCGTAAATATGTTATTATTTATACAATCACATTAATACTTCAAAGACGGCCCTTTGTAACAGAGTCTGCACAAACCATAATCCGAATGAAATGATCAAGGGACTTGACCCACTCCTGGGCTCAGCGTGCTACTCTGGGATGCCTCACAGCTTTGGTCCTCTGGGGTTTATCATTAACCTCAGGACTGTATCTTAGGGGCATCGGAGACATTGCAAATACACTCCAAGGGAGTGGAAGCACATACTCGGCAAAGCTACTATATTTGTAATGAAAACATTTGTCTTGTTAAGTCAAGTAATACTCACCTGCACCTGCTGCCTTTGTGTGTTTAGCATATTTGGGTCAATGGACAAGGGCCCAAGAACACTGACCATCAGTTCTTTTTCCACAAGCCACTGTTTTAGCTGAGCCTCTCCGGTCTGGAACTGAGTTAGATTATTAGAGGATTCTTCTAGTTTTTGTTGTCTATCAACTGTCAATTGATTGAGTTCTTGCCACTTGGAATCTGAAAGAAAACAGAAAACTGGTGTTTGGTTTTTATACATTTAACATGACTATATCTAGGAAGACTACAGGATGTGACTCAAAATGATATATAATAGCTATCATCCTGTATTTATAACTCTTCTTTACAGAGTTGATTAAAGTCTAAGCTAAGAGAATTGCATTTACTGATACAGATTTTTATGGCCCCGATGGTTGTGTGTCAACTGAAATAAGAGGAAAGTAAAATTGAATCTGATGTTAGAAGATAATGCAGAATATGGAATATTCCTTAAAGCAAACAGGATTCCGAGCTCCCTCATTCCTTCTAGAAGTTCTCTAGAGTCTGTTAATCCAACTGTAACTGACCTGCTAGAACAATGGACATTAATTCTTTTGTTTAATATTAAATTCCAATGATCAGTTCTAGGCAAGTGACTCCCATTTTTTTTTAATTTTTAAATTTTATTTATAGATTGGGCAGGGGGGAGAGAGAGAGAGAGAGAGAGAGAGAGAGAGAGAGAAGCATCGATTTGCTATCTCATTTATTTGTGCATTCACTGGTTGATTTTTGTATGTGCCCTCAGCGGCGATCAAACCGGCAACCTTGGCGTATCGGGATGACACTCTAACTCAGCTACCTGGCCAGGGTTGTGACTCCCAAATTTTTATATCTGTACTCAATCATTCTCTTCTATTCAAGTTGCATGTTAGTAACCAGCTGCTTGAAAATTACACTAAGAAATCTCAATAATGCTTTAAACTCAACATTTAAAAAAAACAAAACCTCATTTCTTGACTTGGGGTGGTGAACACACAATATAATATACAGATGATGTATCATATAATTGTACATTTGAAACCTAGGTAATCTTATTAACCAATGTCACCCCAATACATTTAATAAAAAGTTTTAAAACTCACTATGTTCCTATCAAAATTTGTGGACTTTTCTGACTTTTAGATTTCTTTCAAAGGTTAATCTCTCTGCCATGTCACTGAAATGCAATAATTCAGAATGTTCTTTTATGACTCTCCTATATCCTTTGTCCTAAAACCTCAAACCCATCCTTTACATTTCCAATGCCCTAACTCCATTTCGGTCCTCACCATGGTTTGCCTAGAGTCTAGGACAGTGATGGCGAACCTATGACACATGTGTCAGAGGTGACATGCGAACTCATTTTTTTGGTTGATTTTTCTTTGTTAAATGGCATTTAAATATATAAAATAAATATCAAAAATATAAGTCTTTGTTTTACTATGGTTGCAAATATCAAAAAATTTCTATATGTGACACGGCACCAGAGGTAGTTAGGGTTTTTCAAAATGCTGACACGCCGAGCTCAAAAGGTTCGCCATCACTGGTCTAGGCCCTAGACAAGTGGTTCTCAAACTTTAGCTTCATTAAAATCAGGTGGAGGGATGATTAACACAGGTTGCTGGGCCCACCCCCAGAATTTCTGATTCAGGAGGTCTGACCCGGGGCCTGAAATTTTGCATTTCTAACCTGTTCCCAGGTGCTGCTGTGGCTGCTGCTCCCAGGAACATACTTTGAGAACTACTGAAACAACCTAGACTACCAGTCTTCTAACTAGTTTCCCTGCCATTAGTGTTTCTCAGCTGCAATCCATTTGGTTCTACAATAATTTCTCTCTAAAATCAAACAAAACAAAACAAAATAAACCACTTTTAAATGTATCGCTTCCTGTGCTACAATTCCTGAAGAACTAACTCCTCACCACAGATGACAAAATCTGAAGGCCTCTGCTTGACATTCAGGGCCTCCCACAAACTGACCCTCCTCTGCTGATCTCAGAGGGTTTGCACTTCAAGATGAATCCTCTGAGCTAGTCCTGCTGATCTTAACCAATATCACCAAACCGGCTTCTGCTCACACAGGCCCATACTGGCATGCTCTACCTCCTCTCCATGTATCCCCCTCTGCCCTTCCTTCCCACTCCTCTGGGTTGTATCCTCTGCTAGGAAGCTGTTCCTGTCAAGCCCCCCTCCTGACGGCCTGCTCCTGAAGCCAAGTATTGACCAGCACTGGAACACAACAGTCACTCAATAAACATTCCCTGAGGGATAGAACTGGTTGATTTAATGGATGTTTTTCATCATATACTGAAGGCCTGGTTTTAAAAGATCCCTCCCTCCCCCAAATCCTGTCTAATGGCATCATTCTATATGGCACATTACAGTCACACAGTCTAACAAAATAGTAATGCAATTAAAACAATAAATTGAGAGGAAGAAATATCTAAATCTTACCAGGAAGCTTTTTTTGAAATACACATTCTTCCCTCCCACCCCTATTGTAAAATGTCTTAATAATATTCCCCCAAGTAGCTCTGATATCCCAGGTGAGAGCCACTGAATTAAGGACAATTCATTATAATGCAACAGGACTCTCTATAGTTGGATTAAATACACCATTGAACATTAAGGTCCCTTAGGATAATGAACACATACTTATAGATTTCTAAATATATCACAGCATATCTGAGTCTAAGGAGAGACAATCTTTAGCTAAAAAGAATGGACTGATTGAAAGTAAAATAATTATCATCATCAAAGCAAACACACAGCACTTACTGTGTGTCAAGTACTATTCATCTGTGCTGTACACACACTAACTCACTGAATTCTGAAAAGCAATTCTATGCAGTAGGGAAAACTGATATCATTGTCTTACACTCATTTTCCATATTATTATAATAATGAACAGGGGTGATAAGATAATTGGGCATGTGAAGATTCTTTACCTAGGAGGAACAGTTTATATAGGGGCAGGACTGATATGGGAAGATAACTCTGGAGGCAAAACCATGAGACTTCTGTGGGGGGCTACTTTCTAATACTGGTTGGGGAAGAGAAGAAGAGCATAAAGTAGGAGCTGGAGGAGTCCCAAAGGGAGCCCCATGGAAGAGAAGGGAACCTACCTTTTTCAGACAAATAAACTAAAAGGAATTTAAATTAAAATATAATACAGCATCAACAATTAGAAGCACCAAAAATCTAGTAAAAAATAAGCAGTAATGAAAACATGTTACTCAACGCACAGTATGTTATTAACTACCTTCTTCATAAAAATAAATTTAATCACCGTGTTTAGCAAGAATCCAGAAAAAGATCCACAAGATAAAATAATGCTAAGTTAGCACAATTTAATTTGAAATTACACTTTTATATATGCAAAACTAGACCGTGAAATGGTCAAATAAGTAGGCTGTTGGATAAATGTTCTCTGATAAAGATTAGGATTAGATAAAAGAAAGACGGAGCTTCTGTTCTTAGAGTCGGTATGAGTAACAGAACATACCTATTTCTGTCAACATCTGTTTCCATTTGGGGGCCTCAGGAGTGTCTGGGTTCTCCTCCAACAGCTCTGTCAGCTTGTCTTTCAGCTCCTGCACTTTGTTTACATTTTGTTTCAGTTCTGCCTCAAATGACTAAGAAGGAGGGAAAAAAATTAAGTAACAGCATTAAAGTATGTCTACCTCAAAAGACAAGAACACAATTATGATAGGGAGCGTTTTCTCCAGCATGACCAAAAGAGGAGAAATTCCACTGTGAAATGCCTAAGTGGGTGAGGACCTGGATTCAAGAGTTCCTTTCCTTTCCTGCTCCCACTAGTCTTCATGATCTGATAAAAGAATCCCAAAGGGAAATGCTATCGCTACAGAGATAATGACTCATCCCCATGACCTAGAAGAATTTCATATTTTTCTCAAACAACGCCTTTTGGGGAAAAAGGAAGGTGACATCAGAAAGATTGAAATTAAGATAATCATAGGTGGGGGTGGGCAAAAGGAGGGAAATGGGAACGGGGAGGGGGGCTAAGCTTGGGGGGATGGGTGCACGATGTAGTTTGCAGATGATGTTTTGTTGAAACCTGTATAGTTTTGTGAACCAATGTCACCCCAATAAATTCAATAAAAAATAAATAAAATAAAATCCCTGTCAGATAAATCAAACATCTGGTGACAAAGACTGCCAGATTTGAGAGTGTGCTAGTGAGTAAGCACTTTTCTGGACAACACAACACAGAGTTCAAATACAGGTTAGAGTTTGTAGACATTTTTGCCATCACCTCACTGTAAAGCCATTTTCCCAATACAGACAGTTGTAGAAAGAAATACTGTCTATGAAAGAACGGGGAAGCATGAGCTCCCCTATTTCATACTAGACAGAACAGATCCCTCATACACTTAGCCCTTACATAAATCTTTCCCAAGAGTTGACGGGTTAAAATCCCAGACTTAAACTGATTTAAAGGTGGCAACGTTGCTTATACCCAACAGTTCACTCATCTTTATAATGTCTGTGTGCAAAAATAAGTGATTGGTGTAATCTATCTCTACATAAAGGCACATTAAACAAAACTGGCCAATTATTTGCTGAAGTTCATAGGGCAAGAAATCAGAACAGGCCTCCTGAGCACCAGGGCTCAACTTTGAACACCAGTCTGTTCTCTTTCTTGGCTTCAGGAAGCCTCCAGAATATACCTTATTCTGCTCAACTTGGGTCTTCACAGCTTCGGTATCTGTAGGTGTAGGCGCCTGGTGCCATTTTGCTGCAGTTTTGTTCATCTTCTGCAACCACTGCATCATTGCACTTGATTCTTCCTGAGCCTTCTGCAATTTGGTGAGTTTAGTACTCAGTTCGGCTATTTTGTCCTTAAGTAAGAGGCCAAGATCTTCATAACTGTGGCTTATGTCAGTCATGTCTTTTTTAATAGATGTTAATCCTAATAATAAGAAAAATTATTACATTTTTAGGACACATGTTCGGGATGTTCAGAGTAGAGCTCTAGAAAGAAATGTTGGCTTTATATGATATGCCCTTCTACTGTGTTAACATTAAGCCTACTATGATCAAGTCATAGAATTTTAGAAGTAAAAGTTAAAGTGGAATGAAATAGGTATTTTAAATAGAATAAAAAACCAAAACCATGAAATATTACTTATTAATTCTTCAGGCATCAAACTCAAGGAAGTAGCTTAAATAATGTCAAATGACAAAAAACACAAATTAACCTAAAAGAAGGAAACATAACCAAGTGCCAAACCGAACTACCAGATTACACTAATTTCAGATGAACAAAATTGCATAGGATCATATAAGTATGTTTATAGCGAATGGGACTATTATGTTAATACCATTTTAACTCAAGTTTGAAATGTCAATATAACTACTGTACACCTCTAAAAAGATATCCTCTCAAAAAAGAAGACCAATTTATTTTAATCAATAAGCACTTAGAGTTACTATTCACCTTTATTTGCCAAAATTTCCTGAGTATCTGTGGCTGTCCCTTCACCATTTAATATTACTCCACCTGCAAAAATATTAACACTGAAGTCACTCGTCATAAATTTCCATAGTATTTCTATACATTATTAATAATAGACTTTAAATCAAACCCCTGTACGCAGTGATCATTTAAACATGTTACTACTATTTAAAAATATAAAATATAGGTAACCCCCCCCAAAATGTTACACACTTTAACAGCTGATAAATCACTTAATTTTCACTCCATTTCAGGTTTAACTGATTTGAAATAACAGGTGAAGCCAGATTAAACTTTGATCAAAGAAAATATATCTTGAAGTGCTGCTAGACTTTTTTTAGAAAAATACATAAAAGATAAAGTTTATGGTACAAAACCAGCAACAGTCGATGAACTGAGGGTGCATAAATACTGAACAAAATGATTCTTGATGTTTGTGATTCCACTGTTTTGTGTTATCAGCAGTGCCTGGACCTGAAGGGTCATCAATTTGAAAATAGGCATTGACCAAAAAGATTATTCATTTCTGTAGATTCTTTTAAATTTTGAAAATTAACTGCATGTTAATAAACACTGACTTTATTATCATTCAAAGTGCATACACATATTTTGGGACACCCTGTATTGATTCAATTTCAAAACTGAGTATCCAACATTTAAAGATCAAGCCGTATCTTCTCTTCTATACAAAATTTGTTCTTACAATGTAACATGATCATCTTAAACATTAGTTTCAGTAAATTTAGAATATATACATTACTCATTACGTATACACTTATAATACAACTTTGTGATAAAGTTTCTTTGTTGGTCAAGTTACTTTAGTGACAATGATAAAGCCTCTGAAGCTCGGAAGTCGCTCGATATGTGTGCTGCACAAAGCATGCACGATTGACAGACAAAAAGAACGTCTGCCTCACTTACGGAATTGAAAATTGTCTGATGCAGGTACTTAGTGTTCGCATGGGTTGAACAGAGGCAGAGTGATGTAAAAAGACATGATAGAAAAGTTAAAAGTAAAAAAAAAAATCCCTATTACTAAACTCACATTATGTCAACACAGAGAGAGGAGAGCACAGTGGCCCTGAGTACTTGGGCTCTGGCTTACAACTCACCTGAATTTTAATCCCAGCCCCACTAATTACGAGCGGTGTGACAGGGCAAATCAATCACCACTTCACCACATGGGTGGGGACCATAATACCTATCTTGTGAGACCACTGTAAGAATTAAACACAGTAAACCTATTGCCTACAAAATAGAAATGGCTCGGTGAGCAGTAATTATTATTTCTCTTTAATTATATAAACATGTAGCATGGGTACCTTTTTCATCATCAAAATGTTAAATAAATAATTAGACTTTCTCATTCAAGTATGCATTGGCTACCTATCCAAAACAGAGACATATCCCAAACTAACCACATGAGAATGAGTCCAAACAAACAAAAACATTTAAATATCTGAATCTTTACCTAAATTTTGTCCTTTTAAAAAAAAAAATCACACACAAAGGCATTTCAGATGGAAGTGCCTGTAGGTGCCTCAAGATTTATTCCTACTATGTTTAGTAGTTATCAAGAATAGAAAGAAAAAAAATTTTTTTTTTTACTATTGCAAATATAAAGTGAACATAAAGAACTAACACAACAGAATTCCTTTTCTTAAAAATAAACTTGACATTTCAGGAAGTCTGATTGAGAGAGAAAGGAGAGATCATCACTCCATATATAATGTGAGGGTTCCCTGAAATGGGATTAATAGAGCGGAATAAATGCTTGGTCGAGAGGCCCAACTGAATTGTCTCTCACAATGGGGACAGCTGGGGGCTGGCCAGGACAGATAAACCACAGAAACTCTCAGAAACTCAAGATATGCGATCTGCCTTCTGTCTATTCTTGGGTTTAAAAAGAAAACCTGATATTGACAACAATATAATTATGTTTTAAATTAAAAACTATTCCCACAACCTAAATTAATTTTAGAAACACTATTCATCCATGAGTCTCCCCTTCTATTGAGGAGAGTGAAAAAGATTGTGATTTAGATACACTGGTTAAACTATATACTTGTTTTCTTTGGGAATCGTGGAAAGAAAAAAAGCAGATGGGAATAGAATGAGAGGTCCACTCTACAGAAAAGAACCTGTTTCCTTCCCTCATGTCTTCTGTCCCAGAAAACCAAGCTCATTTCTTTATCAATTATTTCAAAGAGAATTTTAACATCCTCATTAATTAAGGTTAAAAAAACCCCAACAAACTGAAATGTGATCTTTCCACTTCCCCAATATGCTGTTCCTTATTCTTACAGACTAATTTGGCGATGTTTTAGCTGCAGTCTTTAATAAAATAAAACAGAGGGATTTGAAATGTGACGAGTACAGATACTTTTCCGTGGCACGTTCATAGATGCCATCTTTCTTGTCACTTTCCCTTCGTATTGCTGAGATTATTTTATGCATTAAAATCTAAAAAGTAACACACACAGACAGAATTAACATGAGTGGGCCCAATCCTTTTGGGTTTTGCTATGGACATCAATGAAGCACATACCTGATTTAACTGCTGCTATTGCCTTTGCAGGAGTAGTCACGGCACTTATTAGGTTACATAGTGAAATCCCACTGTCGTTTACTTTCTGAATCTCTGGTGTTTTCAAACTCCACTTCTCTTGTAATTTCTTGAGGTATAAAAACACATTATTTTTCAGTCTTTGTAATATTTTCGAAGTTACACATTATAATGCAAATTTCTTAAACATGACTTAAAACCATAATGATCGTGGGTCCTGATTCATGGGGGAGTGGATGGAGGAAAAAGGCACCATCCCTACTTGCTCCGACAGCCCAGGTGATGGTTAGCGCTGTTAGCAGTGAGAAGGGAAGTGGGGTCCAGCCTGCATTCTGCTCCCAGCCACTGTGGAAGTCAGCTACTCCGCGCTGCCATAGATTCTAAACTGTCAACTGTAAGCACGGACAACTATTCTAGGCAACAGTCAAGCTATAAGAAGAAATGTACTGGAAACATTTTTTTTAAAGGGAATTCAGAATTCCATTTAATAGCAAGTTTTAATCATTGAAATTTCAATGGATTTTTTTAAAACACACACCTCTACAAATCTGGAATATAAAAACTGGCATAACTGGTCATAGGTTTTGATGACCCAAATGGCAAAAAACTTGTACACTTTGCACTAGAGATTCAAACAACTTTTACCTTCAAATACTAGTTATAGAGACATCTCCAAGCTCCAGTAAAATGCTGACTTAAAGAGGGATTCTTTTACTTAACATTATGAGAAATGGTGTAAAAAATTGCTGAAACTAACTAAGCAAAGACTTGATGGGGAAGGAAACTTAGATACTTTAAGAGTCAGCAACTCACTAATATATCTCTTAAAACACACAAATTAATTCCTCAAAAGGATTGGTTAACCCCATTCCCTGATTTCCAAATATCACCAAAATATGTTGTACGTGCATGAGGCTCTAACTTACGTGATACTAAAGAACAGGAAACCACTATTAATCTTAACCTCTAATTACTGACACAGGCAAATGAGAAATTAGTATTTGATACAATGATTCACCTTAGTTTCTTCCAACGATTTTTCTAAATCCTCTGCACCGAAGGAAGGCTGCACGATGGGAACTCTTTCTGTTGTTTCTTTGATCCAGGACTTTAATGATTTAACAAGGACCTGGAAGGCGTCCATCTGTTCTTGACAAGAAGACACAGCTTCTTTTCTACGTAACAGAAACCATTGAGGAATTTAAGCACATGCTCCAAAGAGCTAATTACCAATAAATAATCATTCTCAGATCAGGCTTAATATCAAGAAAAAAAATCTTCCCCCACGTACACTCTAACCATTTGATACAGGAGGAAAGGTTTATAGGTGGGAAGTGAAATCTCTGTCTGTATTTCTCACAGGCAGGGTCCATAGATAAAGTTCAGAGAAGTAAAGAAACCTGTAACCCATATGTTAAGGCACTCTATAAGGCTACATAAGCTCTAAGGCTATATAAACAGTTTTAACATTATTTAGATTCAATGAGCTTTGATCTGTTCACTTCATATGGTGCTTACTGCCAGGAGGGAAACATTTACACATCACAGCCATGAGGGAAACGTACCGCCACCTAGTGGTTTCTACACCATACTACAGCCACTTTAGTGGATGGCTAAAAGCAGGTGCCTTAGAACACATAACTGTATTTCAGTCACCAAAAGAGGCAAGACCTAGTGACTGAAAAGTTTTAAGGGGTGCCTCCCCTATAGAGACTCTGGAAGCGCCACGGTTAACTATATGGATCTTTCTGTACCTCAGCTCCTCGGAGGAGGGGCCCATGTTTAGCACATGAACAGCTGTGAAGACAGCTCCATTTGGAACATGGACGACATGTGGGTAACATGTGCACATGTGCAAGTGTGTGGAATATTGGCAGATAAAAGTCCACTCCAGCTGGACGAATTACTGATGACTACATGGTTTTCAAATTGAATCCATTTGAAAGAACCTAGAGTTTACCTAAGAAAATGAAGACTATTCCTTCTGTGTAATATGTGAATTAAATGTTATATGACAAGATGGAAAATATAGCTCTCTGAGGAGTTCAGATAGCAGTCAACAGTTTTAGGTAGAGAATTATGAAGAAATAATGAATACTTGAAAGAGAAATAATTATTTTCAATTGTGGGGGGGTCTTCTGTATAAATTTTAGCAAGACCAGATGTACTACGTATTCTTACCTAACATGAGTTCAGAAACATAAAAGTTCAGTCACAAGGCTTACCCCTAGACAGCTTTTTAGCTCAACTTAGGTTCATTCTATTGTTTCTTATCTCGTTTGTTCAGAGTCATGTATTAGCTACGACTCCTAAGAAAGTAAACTGTTATTTAAAAAAAAAAAAAAAAAGCCAGCTTCTGAATTGAGCCCAGAAAGCAATGAGCCATGAGGTATTTTTCAAGGTTATTTCTGACTTTGCAAATAAAAAATGGTATTTGCCAAAGGCTTCAGACACTATAGTGAGTTAAGGTCATTTTCAGTAATACACTACTCCCACATTTTTCTTACGTTAATGCTCTCTACTTTTATGTAAGAAGTCTTGAAATTTCCCTCCTAAATATTTTAACAAAACTACATTTAATTTTAATTGCAAAAAATATTAATGTAAAAGCACTTATAAAGTTGATGCTTATGTACAAGTTTTCAAAATTGTTTCAGGTTTCTATATAAGCGAATATAAATAACATAGTCTAATCAGTATCGTGCAGAATAAAATCCAGTTTCTTAAGTGGTGCTTACTTTTCTTTGATGGTATCCTCCATTTCTTTAAATTTCTTTGACAAGTTGTTTGTTTTTTCAAACACCAGGGCCTTATCACTCGGTAAGCCATGGTTGGATATCTCCTTTAAGAGACTCTGCAAAACTTCAAGATCTTTTTTGTGTTCTAAGAATTCAGAAGTCGATTCCTACAAAGCATTTAGATAGTCAATCAATGTAAGATGCTGCTAAATCTTCAAAAGATATTCCATCAAGAGGTATGTATGGGACCAGAATCTCACATGAGAATAATCCTGCCCCGTGGTCAGTACTCTACATATAAATAAACATGCAAGCAGGCTGTGTGAAGAGAACACAGTAAGCTTCGTTTAATTTAAAAAGGCACTCTTTACATCTGTCCCTTTGTGAGTGCTGTACATAACAAGTTTATATTGCCCATCCAGCTTGGCGCAGTGGTTGAGCGTAGACCTATGAACCAGGAGGTCAGGGTTCAATTCCCAGTCAGGGCACATGCCTGGGTTGCGACTCAATCCCCCATTGGGGGTGTGCAGGAGGCAATCGATCAATGATTCTCTTTCATCATTGATGTTTCCATCTCTCTCTCCCCCTCCCTTCCTCTCTGAAATCAATTTTAAAAACATATTTTTAGCCCTAGCCAGTTTGGCTCACTGGATAGAGCATCAGCCCATCTTTGATTACAAGATCAAAAGAGTCTGTTTGTCTGTAAGAAAGACTGAAGGGTTCCGGGTTAGATTCCTTTCGTGGGCACATGCCAGGGTTGTGGGCTCAATCCCCAGTAGGGGGCGTGCAGGAGGCAGCCGCAGTGATTCTCTCTCATCATTGATGTTTCTCTCTCTCTCCTTCTCTCTCTCCCTTCCTCTCTGAAATCAACAGAAAAATATATTTTAAAACAAACAAAACATATTTTTTAAAAAGAAGTTTATATTGCCTTTGATATGTGAAAAGCCCAGCCAGCAAAAGCTTCAAGGAGATGTTGGAGTTTGTGATTTTTAAAGAAGGAAAGCAGAGATCTTTACTAATTCATCAGCAACTGAAATGATGACAGCAAATTATAATTCTGCCAGTAAATGTATGAGCTTGTCTTAAATGTTACTATGCTTGGTCGGCTCGTGAATACTACGGAAGGCATACCTGCATAGACTGAGACAGTTCTGTAACGTCTTTTCCTGGCACATCTGCCTCTGTGAGAGCCCGAGTTTTTGCCTCTAAAAATGTCTGAAGCTTTTCTGAGAGGCTCTCAAACCGTTCTACTTTGGTTTTCAGCTCCTCCATGCTGGCCAGTTTCTCTTTGTGTTTATGACTTGCTTCTGAAAACCGAACAGACAGGTCCTTCATTTTGGCTTGCAGCGAGGACGCGGTGGACGGGTCTGTAGTTTCCATAAATTTCTTCACTTTCTCGTTCATGGCATTGATGCTGCTCTGGCGACTCGCGATGTCCTGTTCCAACATCTGAAATGAATCCAACAGGGTGTATGTTTTATAAGGATGTTTACAAATAATGTCCCGGAGTCTCAAAAAATTACTGTTCATAACAACATTAGCTTGAACAAACTGTGATGAAGGAAGGTCAACGGATAGGACTAACTGACAAGTCTGATCTCTCCCTTGAGGAATCCCATCCCAAATCTCTTCAAGGGAGAGGAGAGAACAGCTGGCTAGTTGCCTGAGCGAGGCAGGAGGTGGCTGCCACTCAGCTACCCCGGGGATCTAATGGAGCCTGGGGATTATCCACGGTCCTAATTTTTAAAAGACTAGACAACAACAAGATTGATCTGATTAACCTCACGTGCAGCTGGCTGAAGCAATGCTAAACGGTGAATACTATGCATGAAAAAGGATACAAAAACCTCTTCCTATACGCCATAGAAAAATCATTCTATACATCTGCTTTTGTGCAAGCGCTACTTTCCACAGGTATATTCATAAAATGTCTGGTTTTCTAGATCCTTAAATGTATATATCCTGGGAGCTTCTCTGTGTGTTTTCTTAATCTAAAAGTGGTATGATTTATTTTCTTTTTCCCTGGTCACTTACAATGTGCTTGGTGATGACATCCTGAAGAGCAGCAGAGTTCAAGGGCACCTGGCCTGGTTCCTGCAGAGAACTCTCCACACCTGCCATCCAGTCCAGCATCTCGTCCAGGCCGTCCTGCACACTCAGCGAGCGGGTCAGGGTTATCTGGAGCTTTTCATTTCGTTCATTCACACACTTGGACAGATCGTCGTATCTCCCCACAATGTCATCTAGTCCCAAGAGATCGGGAAATGTTATCCACAAAGTTACCTTTGCCCTATTCCTTGTCAAAATTGCACTAAGGTGAAATCATAAAATTTCAATAAAAGTTTCAATGATAAATTCATAATGTGCAATTAGGGCACCATCTAAAACAGAAAGCAAAGATCCCTGTGGAAAATGAAAAACAAATACTTTTTTAAATAGTAAATATGTGTATCATCTGCTTTGGAAAAAACATTGTCGGATACATAGACTTTTGAGTTGCCCCAGAGAGATGAAAGCAGTCTAATCAAGAAATCTTTGGAGTAAATACATGTTTTCAATGTGACATGTCAAATTAGTCATGCTTACTGATAACTATATGGGAGGGAAAAGCTGACACTCATACAAAGCTACATTCTCAATGAGCAATATACAGTCTTAAGGACTTGTCAAGAATTAACCTTTATGTGTAAAAATTCCCTCCCACTCCCTCTTGCTCACATGTATAACTTTTTAAAATTTATCTTTATTTTTGAAAGTATTATGGATGTCCCCTTTTCCCCCTCATTGACGCCTAGCCACTCTACACCTGCCGTTCCCTGTCATCATCCTAAGCACAGTACTCAAATGCACAAAAATTAAACACAAATGTATTGAGAAAACATACAACAATGAAAATCCATTTAAAATAGAGAAGGGTGAGATTATGCTTCTAAACTAAAGTTTAATTCCAGGCACAAGGGAAAAATAAACAAGATTAACAGTTAATCTATCTCAGATAAGGTTAACTTTACTTTCAAGTCTAACGACCTAAGATGCTTAAAAACACACACAAAAACACCTTTCTGGTCTACTTTTTACTTGCATGTAAAGCCCTACATTTTCATGCCTTACATTCTATACGGCAGGCCAATGAAAAGTTCCAAGGACAATTTTTAATGCCTCTCTCTCTCTCTCTCTCTCTCTCAAACTGCTGTTAGTTGTTAATTTATCACTTATTTCCCCAAGAATTTCAAAAGTATTTTAATTATTTCCGAATGCTTTAGTCTGATATACTATAAAATGCTTCAAAAAGAGAAAATTTGGAACTGAAATATCTCTATAAAAATGAAATCTCTTACATGCTTGCGGTTGGTCTGGGGAACATATCTATATAAACAAACAATATTTCTTTTTAATTGTTCTAATGTTATAACATGAGAACACAGTTTGATGAATTTTAACTGAATTGAGACTTTAAGATGGTTTAGAGCAGTGGTTCTCAACCTTGGCTGCACATTAGAAACACCTGGGAATCTTTTTAAAATCCTGATTTCTGGGCCTCATCCTCCAGAACGTCTGTTTCTTTGTTATGGGGTGGGGCCACATTAATAACAAAAAAACAGAATTTCTGGAGGATGAGGCCCAGAAATCAGGATTTTAAAAAGAATCCCAGGTGATTCTAATGTGCAGCCAAGGTTGAGAACCATTGATTTAGAGAGACAATGGCTCCTGTCACTGAAAGGCAATGAAGCCCCTGAGAATGCTGATGGGGAGAGGGACAACATTTAATGAGCATGGGGGTGCCACCAGCACAAAACAAAAGCAATGGGGTAAGTAGGAGCCTTCATTTGATAGTCACAAGGGCAAATGTTCTGAATCACAGGTCGTGATTGGCAGGTGAGCTGCTTCTACACTGGGCGGCTCTGTGCATCAACAGGGTACCATCAGCTACCTGTTCAACCATGGCCGGTGATTTCTGGAAAAAACAGTTATCGTAATAAAATTAATACAATTCCAGCCTGACTGGTATTTTTGAATTTCTTAGTGATGAAATACTGTCACTGAAGTAAATTCTTGATTTTTAGTAATTAAAATTATTTTAGAACAAGGTACAGAACAAAATGTACCAAAATTTTTTATTTATTTTTTAAGTGGTTGATTTTTTTAGAAACTCCTCTAAATCTCAAATGTGCAGGATGGGTCAAAAGTCGGTTTATAGTTGTGAGTAGAGGAAACAGTTTATTCTTTTATTATTATTATTTGTTAATTATTGTATTACTTTCCATATGAACTGTAAACCTACTTTTGCCCCACCCTGTATTTACACATATTCCTAGAAAATTATTTTGCCAGAGAGAAGTTTTAAAGTCTTAAAATAAGGTAACATATGGATTGGAAACTAATAACAGTGAAACTATGTATGATTAACAATGGGGAAAAATGTCAAAACGCCTCTTAAAAATAACAGAAGTACATATAATACAGTCTTTCTTTCTCTTCTAAGTCCCTATGCCCAAATCCTTATAGCAGTACGAGATCAAGACAGTACACTGGGATATAGGATAAAGAACTCCCATTTATATTTTTGTCTTGTACTTTAAACTTTCATATGTTTGTGTTTTATAATTAGAGTACATGTAATAGGATACGATAGTAATATGTGTATGTAATTGATCAATATATATGCGTATATGAGGGTGTATACTAAAAATCATTTGATGGGGTACAAGATCAAAAGAGTTTGGATGTCTGTAAGAAAGAAAAAATAGTTTTCCTGTCTATACAGTGGTTTTAGAAGAGCAATGTTTCTTCCTTCTCTTTGGCTAAAATTTCTATTCAGATTTTAATTCATGCGCCCTTTGGAGGGAGAAACATACATCTAATCATCTGCTGGTCTCTCAACCTCTTAAATCCATGCTCCTGCCTTTGATAGAGACAGGTCCCCCAAGAGTCTGTTTTGGCCACAGGTTGAGAGTCTAGCTCTGCCCAAACTCATCTTGGGAACTTCTACTTTCTGTGGTGACTATTAGGTAAAAAGTTCCTGTTACATTGTCGAAATACAAAATTAAAATTGAAGTACATTCTTTTCAAACTGCACAGCTCCCTTTTCCAGATTGTAATATTCCTGCCAAAGAAGGAATATTCTCTCCAGAGTGAGAAACATTATTTCACAGGGAAGAGATGTAAATGACAATGAACACCAGGGAGCCTTTTCTGCCTGTCTATCAGAATCCCTTCTCTTAGAATGTTCCTGAGAGGAAACAAGGACATGAGCACTTACCCAGTGTCTTCTGGATATCATTCTTGGCTGGAAGTAGAGATCCCCTGGCATCTAAAAGCACTTCGGCTGTTTTCTTCAGTTTCTCTACAGCCACCTGCTGACTTGATATCTGTCCTTGCAGAGCCTGAAGGATCGAATGCTTCGATTACACTCAGGACTAAACAATAGTTTTCCAATATGAAGAAAAAATGACTTACAGTAAGATAAAGGTAAATTGGACAGAGTAAACTTTTCATCATTATAAACGTAGTCCAGAATTCTTAGAATAGAGCCAGTTATCAAGTGGCGCTAGCAAAACCATCAGCCAGTTGGGAAAATACAAATTCCGTCTTTTGAAATAAACCCTGGAGCATATGTTCATGATAATTGGCCTGATTCCTGATCCTGTGACTCTTAGCCTGAGTTCCTCAACTCCCACTTCTCTGCTTTGTACCATACCCCCCACCACCACCAGGAATAAAATAAATAAATAAAAACAAACAACAGAAAACCTTGGGACCACTTCTACTCTACTTAAAAATACAAGTAAGGGCTTTTATTTGAAGCAGATCCTAAGTCACTACTGAGTCATATTTTTTTTCTGTTAATTCAATAAAGTTACTTAACATCTAACATATTCAAAAAGATCTTGCTACATTTTGTGAAAAACACAAAAATCAGACAGACATGAAGCTTCCCCACAGGGATCTTCTAGTCTAAGGCAAGGAGTGAAAAGTGCCAAAGGGGAGTAAAAAAAGTACTACCAGAAGCTGAGAGGAGGAGTAGCTGGAGAGAGGCATTGAGATGGTCCTGAAGAAAGTGTGGATTTGGGCAGACACAAGTGGAGAGGGAGAACATTTCCCTGTAGGATGAACAAAGATGGCAACAGAAGCATCCGAGGGAAAAACGAGGGTCCCGTCCAGTCTGAGAATGTGTGCGCTGAATAAATAGCAATAGGACCGAAAGGTCTCCAATGTCAGACTGAGGAGTTTGCACTTTATCCTGCAGCAGCAGGGAGTTATTCCGGTCTTTGGGGTAAGGGGTTGGCATGCCCAGAGCTGTCTTATGGAAGGCTATTTTGCGACGCTGTGCAGAAAAACTTGATGGGAAAGAAATGAAACATGGACACTGGTTAAAGCAGTGGTTGTCAACCTTGGCTGCACATTAGAATCACCTGGGAATCTTTTTAAAATCCTGCTTTCTGGGCCTCATCCTCCGGAAATTCTGTTTCTTTGTTACTAATGTTGTGGCCCCACCCCATAACAAAGAAACAGAATTTCCGGAGGATGAGGCCCAGAAATCAGGATTTAAAAAAGATTCCCAGGTGATTCTAATGTGCAGCCAGGGTTGAGAACCACTGGGTTAAGGGCAAAGTCAGTCATGAGGCGGCCAGTGCCTGTCTGAGCAGGGAAAGGAGAACTTGTTACGGAGCTGGGAGGTGTCCACAGGACTTGGTAATCGATCATCTAAAGCTGTGCTCGCCAATACAGTATCTGCTCCCTACAAGTGGCTTTTAAATTTAAATCGATTTAAATCAGGTGAAATTTAAAACTCAATTTCTCAGCTGTACTAGCCACATCCAAAGCCCTAAGACCTAAGTAGTCAGGTGGGACTGGTGGTTACCATGTGGGACAGAGCAGATCAAGGAACATTCTCATCATCACAGAATGTGTTCCTGGACATCACTGCTGCAGAGGGCAGGTGCAAGGGACAAGAGGTGAGCCGGAGGACAGAAGTACCCAAAGGTTCTGAGCCCAGGTAATTAATGGGATTCATAAGCAAAAATGGGAGCAAGTTCAGGCGCAAAGGAGCATCTATTTGGAATGTGTGGCTGCAAAGTGCTTTCAGGACACTCACGTAGAAAGACACAGCACAGCTGGGAATGGGGGCGACTTTGAACACAGGCTAGAACTAGACCTGAAGCACTGGAGGTCAGGACCCACGATGAGACTGTGAAAGGAGAAAGCACAGAAACACCAGAGAAGGGGCCCGTGCAGCATCATGGAGCGTATTCAGATGTAAGTGGTGAGGAGAGGAAAAGAGATGGAACAAAGGTCATCAGGGACATGGAAGTGAGCCCAGAGGATTCTGTCCCCAGAGTTTAAAAGAAGAGAAGGTGGAAACAGTTAACTGTCAACTGCTTCGAAAGGATAATGTAACCTTTAATTTGTTGAATAGAGGTCCCTGGAGTTCGCTGAGTGAGCAGATGCATGTCAACAACAGCAAGACTGAGGAGAGAAGAGATAGAGATGGAAACCATAGCTAAGTCTGCCAGAAGTCTGGCCCTGCCTTCCTAACACCTCTGTCTAAACGGGCTGCCTAGCCGCACGGCCCCGTGCTTGGCTTTGACTTCACTTGAGGTATTCAAGCTCCCCTTCTAGTCTCACATTTGGATTTCGAATTCTAATTCCCATATGTCCGACTGTAGATGAACTCATCCCTGGCCATGGGCCCAGGTTTCCAACAGCCTCTTGAATGTTTCCATCTGGGTGTAAACAGTCACCTCAAATTCAAAAGGCTAAACTGAACCCATCATCTCATTCTCTTCACCTGTACTTCCTTCTGGGTTTGCATCTTATTACCCAAGTAGTAAATCTGAGGGTCCTCCTCGACTCTCAATCCTCCTTTCCACATGCAAATCAACCATCATGACCTAACAATTTTACCTGCCATATATATATGTATATGTATATATATATGTATATGTGTGTGTGTATGTATGTATATATATATATATATATATATATATATATATCTTTTTTTATAAAATCAGACTTCTGCTTTGTATTTCTGGATCACTGCAGGATAATCTCTTGTTTAATTGGACAAAGCATTCAATGTCTTCCCTGCTACAGACCCCCCAATGTGTTTTGTGGAAAATACATATCTATGTATATCACTCCCCTCTTTAAAATCTTACAGTAGCTCCCTATTGCACTCACAATAAAAGGCAAAAACTTGAGCATGCTATTAAAGGTCCAGTGAAAGCTATTCCTTAATTCTATCTTCAATGTCATCATTCTCTACTTTCTGTTCCAGAAATGTCCAACAACATAGCTATTTCTTAGCTATTTGCTCATCCTAGATACCTTAGCATTTCCACATACCAACCTTCCCAGCAACCTACCCCACATCACCCTCAACTTGACTCTTATTCACTCTTTAAAATTCAGCTGGGACGCCTTCCCTAACTCACCCCAACCCTAGTTGTAAGTACTCCACCCAGGAGCTCCCATAAATATCCAGTAAATATCGATGTATTTATTTGTCTCTTCTATCAAACTATAACGTCCTCAAGAATTAGGCATTTTTTCCTATTCAGATTTCCATTATCACTGCCTAGACCAGTGCTTGGCATATAGTAGGCCTTGATAAAAGCTTCTGGAATATGAAGAAATACAAAACGCTAATTCAAAAAGATATATACACTCCTATGTTCACTGCAGCATTATTTACAACTCGAGGCCCAGTGCATGAATTCATGCACACGTGGATTCCCTCGGCCTGGCTGGTGATGGGGGCCGATCGGGGCTGTCTTGTCCAGTCCCCATTGGGGTCAATTGGGATCGGACAGCCGGGAGGAGGGACCACAAGAGGTTGGCTGGCTGCGGGAGGTTAGCTGTGGGAGCACACTGACCACCAGGGGACAACTCCTGCATTGAGCGTCTGCCCCCTGATGATCAGTGCGCATCATAGCTACCATCCAGTCATCTGGTCATTCAGTTGTAATGGTTGCTTAGGCTTTTATATATATAGATAGCCAAGATATGGAAGCAACTTAAGTATTCACACAAATGAGTGAATAAAGATGTGGTACATGTATACAAAGGAATATGGCTCAGCCATAAAAAAAGCATGAAATCTTGCCATTTGTGACAGCATGGATGTACCTAATGGGTATTATGCTAAGTAAATAAATCAGAGAAAGACAAATACCATATGGTTTCACTTATATGTGAAACATAAAAACTAAAATAAATGAACAAACAAAACAGAAACAGACTAACAGATATAGAGAATAAACTGATGGCTGCCAGATGGGAGGTGGGGTTGGGAGAATGGGTGGAAAAGGGGAAGGGATTTGGAAATACAAATTGGTGGTTATAGAAGTGTCATGGAGATGTAAAGTACAGCATAGGAAATACAGTCAATAATCCTGACCGTCGGGATGACCCTTCCAGACGATCGTCTGGACAACCTTCTAGACAAAGCTGGGGATTTGAGGGCTAAGGCAGCTGGGGCTGTGAGGGCTGAGGCAGCCAAGGCAGCCAGGGCTGTGAGGCCAAGACCCTTACACGAATTCCATGCATCGGGCTTCTAGTACTATATAATAAAAGCCTAATATGCTAAGTGTCTGTTCATCCAGTGACTTGTAGACTGTTCAATCAATCAAATCATAATATGCTAATGGTATGCTAAGGCCGCTCAACCGGCCCCTATGATGTGCACTGACCACCAGGGGGCAGTCAACAGATCGACCAGTCGCTATGACATGCACTGACCATCAGAGGGCAGATGCTCAATGCAGGAGCCAGTTTTGTCCCAATTCCAAAGGCCACTCCCCTCGGGAGGGTGCCAGATGCAGGGCTCACAGCTGGTGAGTGCTGCTGCGGCGATGCGAGCCTCTCCCAATCGGAACTAATTGGGCATGAGCCCATGGTAGGCACTGTGGGGCCAGGATGAGTGGGAGCAGCAGGATGAGTAGGAGCAGCAGGATGAGTAGGAACAGCAGGCGGCGTTGGACAGCAGGTTTCGGCCCAATCCCTGCAGGCCACCTTGAGGGACCCCATCCATGCATGAATTTGTGCACTGGGCCTCTAGTATTGTAATAACTATGTATGGTGTCAAATGGGTACTAGACTTAGGGTGATCACTTCGTGAGTTATATAAGTGTCTAATTACTATGTTGTACACCCGAAACTCACATAATATTGTTTGTCAACTAATAGAAAAATAAATTTAAAAATTAAGAAATACTACAGGGATATTTAGAAAAAAAGTTTCTGGAATAAATGAGTGAGTGAATAAGTAAATAAACAAAGATATCAGGTGTAAGACTTTAAAAGATCCTCTTCTATTTCAGCTTTCATCAACAACAAAAAAATGCTAAAGCCAATAGCAACAATGTCCTCGATTTATTTTCATATCCAAGAAATTGTGATGATATACAGGCAGTTGTGTGTACCCCAGAAGGACAACCAAACTGGGACCAACCAGAGACCTGTGAACTGAACACCAGATCCTACAGATGTTCCCAGAGGCCAAAGAGCCAGTAGGAGAGTGAACCTGTTTAGGAAATTCTCCCACAAGTTTGGTTACAGAAAGGATTATATAAGAAATTCCTCAAGGGACTTTACCTATAACCAGACTGAAGTCTAAAGAAATTATTTTTTAAGAATGTGAGTTCCCTGATGGGCAGAGGTAGGGTTTTGATACCTTTGTGTCTTCACAAAACCCAATAATGGGCCTAGCATATAAATGTCTACCAGAAAGCAAACGCCATGTAAAAGCTGTCACAGTTTTATAAAATCATCCAGGAACAAGGATGGCCCTGCTACCAGCTTAAAGCTTAGAAATGACTGACAAAAGAAGCATCCCTCCTTTACCTCTTCTCTTCAAAACATTCCATGCCTTTTCTCTCCTATTTATGTCCAAGAGAGTCAATAGTTTTTCATTCCTAACACAATATCAGGTTTTAATTGAGCTACAATAATGGTTGATAGTATTATGTTGGGAAAAAAACTTCAAATTAAAGTGCCATATATTGTCTTTAATGGATTTCAATGAGTTAAAACATGAAAGAAGTATCTGGGACAGAGAATACTGCAAGGTCATGACCTTAGTCTCCAGCCTGGGCCAGAAAAAGATGAACCTGGGTACTTGCCCAACTCATAAAAGCTTCCTGACTTACGGCCATCCCAGAGATCAGAGAAAGGTTGGAAGGTGGTCATTGTCAGTCAACATGACCGAGCTCCACGCCTGGTCCCAGACCCAGACCTCCAGAGTGGTCCTGGAATCCTGTCTTTCTGTGCTTCGTGTGGGGCAAAAATTCTGTAGTGTTTGCGGATTTCCCTAGAAGCACAACTTGAGGAACGTCATTATAGCCCAGTGATATCAGATTGTTGACAACACAGCAAACAGTTCTTTGAAAAATAATGCTGATAACAACATGCTATTGGACAGAAATGTTTCAAATGAGCCAACTGTGTTTCCTCAATTTACATTTATTATACAATTAAATATAAGTTAGAATTATAAACACAGAAAAGGCTGATTTTTTTGTAGTAGTCTTATGTGTTTATATTATAGTTAAAGAAAAATAACTTTTCAATGTTGTTAATAGAACTGAAAGAAATAGAGACTGCCACATTCTCATAAAAATTATCCTTTCTGCAGGCTGAGATCATCTGTGAGGAAAACATCTACAGGTGCCAGGAACAACTTTAATCACACATTTAATTTTTAAAACGATGCTGTGGCTTAATTAGAATTCATTCTCCTCTGAGATGCTGCTTTTCTTCTTACACTTCCTCAGCTGCCTTAGAACTAGAGAAATCATCTTCCACAGTACATTTCAAGTAAGTTTTCTTCTGTTTTAGAATTAATTCACATTTCTGCTTGATTAAAATAGCCATACATTCTTTTGGGTTTCCTTTCCTTTTCTTTTTTTTCCTCTAGTTACATAAAAAAAAGTTACTTTTACACTGGATATAATCATCTTCCTAATACAGATACAACTTAAAATGTGTTGTTGTTGTTTTCTATACTTTCCTATACTAAAAATATTTAGCTATATGATTAAATGTAGGCAGTTTTAACAATTATCTTAAGCTATTGGCATTGCCTACCAAAATAATAGCCTCTATGTAATAGCATCTCCTCCAACCCTCCCACATACACTGTCCTTAGACAAGTTATCAAGTGAGAATCAGAAACCTAATTAAGACACATCTGTTCCTGTGCTTGTGGGAAAGAGAGAGAGTAAACAAAACAAAACAGAAAAAAGCAAAGTCCCAGCTGGTGTGGCTCCATTGGTTGGAGCATCCTCCCATACACGGTTCAATTTCCAGTCACGGAACATACCTAGGTTGCAGGTTTGATCCCTGGTTTGGGTGTGTACTCAAGGCAACTGATTGATGTTTCCCTCTCACCTCTCTCTCTGTCTCTCTGTCTCTCTCTCTCTCTTCCTGCTTTTCCCTCTCTCTAAAATCTGTAAGCATATCCCAGGATGAGGATTAAAAAAAATAATTCGCCACCATATTTAAAAAAACAAAACACACACACACACACACACACACACATACACACACAGTTTTAAAAAGGCACACCCAAAGGAATGAGGCAACCACTAGGAGGCTACATCAACGTAGGGAAGCTGAACTGCCCGAGACATCTCCCTGTTGCCTAATGTAGAACAGGTAAACTCTCCAGCCCAGGAGAAAAGCAGAGCCACCATCCTCCTTACCTCCCACGTGTCTCCTCCCTCCTCTCATCCCATGCTTCCATCCTTCTTCTTTCTGCCTTGGTCTTACTTCATCTACCACATTTCATCCAAGGGGATGACTTAGCTTTCTTCTGGCCAGAAGTCACCAGTCTCAGGCAATACCTAATGTTAAGCTCACTCAGTCGGCTACCTGTTTTCCTAGTTAATTCTGTAACTAACAGATGCAACTAAAATCTGAAAGGCAGTTGTTTAACTGGCAATATAGTGTTTACTTTCTAGCTCCAGTGCCAATAATACTGCTGCTCACCTGCTAAAAGTAATCACAGAATAGATTTATGAAATTAAACTTTCAACTCAAACTAATTGATCATTTGGAATAAGAATAAGATACTTCATGCAATACCCTTTGTAATAAAAAATTAAAAAAAAATTTAATAAAAAAAAAAGAGTAAGATACTTCAAAAATTATCTCCTCTTAGAACAGTGATGGCAAACCTTTTGAGCTCGGTGTGTCAGCATTTTGAAAAACCCTAACTTAACTCTGGTGCCGTGTCACATATAGAAATTTTTTGATATTTGCAACCATAGTAAAACAAAGACTTATATTTTTGATATTTATTTTATATATTTAAATGCCATTTAACAAAGAAAAATCAACCAAAAAAATGAGTTCGCGTGTCACTTCTGACACACGTGTCATAGGTTCGCCATCACTGTCTTAGAAGGTAAAGGGGAGGGATAAAAATGGTGATGGAAGGAGACTTGACGTGGAATGGTAATCACACAATATAATATACAGATGAGGTATTGTAGAATTATATACCTAAAACCTATATAATTTTATTAACCAATGTCATCCCAATAAATTCAATAAAAAATAAATTAAAAATAATGATTTCCCCTTACATTAGGATGTAAAAATATGCTTTAAATTTAAGAAGCAGAGACTGTCCTTGCCACTGTTGGTATGCAAGTCCCACATCAAGCCTGCATTTTTTAAAATATATTTTATTGATTATTTACAGAGAGGAAGGGAGAGGGATAGAGAGTTAGAAACATCGATGAGAGAGAAATATCGATCAGCTGCCTCCTGCACACCCGCTACTGGGGATGTGCCCACAACCAAGGTACATGCCCTTGACCAGAATCGAACCTGGGACCTTTCAGTCCGTAGGCCAACGCTCTATCCACTGAGCCAAACCGGTTAGGGCAAGCCGGAATTTTTTAAAGAGCAGGTAGGTTTTTTTGAAAATTGTGCGAGGTAATAACTTAAGTTTTATCTCTATGAATCATGGGAATATTCAATAGGATCACAATCCTGATCCTCAGAGCCCACATTGACAGTAAGATCCCTTCCTCCTTTCTACCTGTCCATTCTTAAACAAATATTTATCTAGTATAGTGGTTCTCAACCTTGGCTGCACATTAGAATCACCTGGGAATCTTTTTAAAATCCTGATTTCTGAGCCTCATCCTCCGGAAATTCTGTTTCTTTGTTTGGGTTGGGGCCACAACATTAGTAACAAAGAAACACTTTCTGGAGGATGAGGCCCAGAAATCAGGATTTTAAAAAGATTCCGAGGTGATTCTAATGTGCAGCCAAGGTTAAGAACCACTGATCGAGTACCTATGATGGGCCAGATCCTGTTCTAAGTGCTTCTAGGTGCTGGGGATATAGCAATGAACAAAATAAACAAAAACACCTGCTCTCATGAAGTTTAATTCTACAGGTGGAGAAAAACAATAAACAAAATAAATATGTATAAAATGGCCCAGAAGATACTGGTTTTTGTTTGTGGAGGAGGGAGGGGAGGGAGTGGTGGGATGCAGATAACCAGCCATAACAGCAATGTCAACCCAGTTAAACAGCAGTAGAAAAATAATCTCATCTATATATATATATGAGGCTAATATGCAAATTGTCACCACAGGAGTTCGACTGGGAGTTCAATCACCAGCTATAACATGCGCTGACCACCAGGGGGCGGCACAGAGCGAAGGAAGGCCCAGGCCGGCAGCCAGGGAAGGGGGGCCCCCACCAGCAGCTGGAAGCCAGGGAAGGAGGGCCCTGGCTGGAAGTTAGAAGGGAAAGCCCTGGCTGGCAGCCAGAAGGCCCCGATCAGCCCTGATCACCGGCCAGGCCTAGGGACCCTACCTGTGCACAAATTTTGTGCACCAAGCCTCTAGTTAGAAAATAAATAGACTGCTAATAACTAAAGTTATAACCCTCTCGAGAGGGAGAAATACACTTTTCTCATCTTTTGTTCCATTTTCACGTAAAACTATCACAAAACTGTGGGGAAATGAAAGGTTTTCAGTAAGACTAATGAAGGGCTGGGTCCCCGTCCTCTCTCTCTCTCTCTTTACCTTGGTCTCTTCTAACTGCCTTTGCAGATTTTTAGGGTCCACAGCAATGGGTTCAGACAAGTGTTTGCTGGCTGTGACCTCGAAGGCCTGGAGCTCAGAAAGAAGTCCAGATGAAGCATCTTCATAGTGTTGATACTTATCCACCAGGTCTTTAAGATTATTCCCAAGGACACTGCACTAAAAATATCAAAAGAGAAAAAGAGTGGAGAATTAAAATCTACCATTTTTATTTGTGTTAAATAACCTTAGCACCGATGAGTGCTATAACTTAGAAAGCACCAGACTTCAACCAATGTGAGTTGAAACTGTAGGGCTAAGATTTGTCTCCTTTGTATGAAGAAGCATCCTCTAACAAAGTCAAGAAGTACCATACAAATGAGGAGATAGTCCTAAATTTATACCCATTTGAAGACATGGTTTCAAGGGCTGAGTCTTGACCCAAAGTGAAAGGTTTGGATATCAATCGTCAGAGGCAACAGATTTACCAGAGCACATTCCCAGTGAGTTTTATACATCATGTGTCTAGATATGTATGTGACAGAAGGGTTTTCAAGGTCCTTATGAATCGCCTCTATACATTGCACAAGATTAATTAATACAAGAAGGGCAAACAATCTACATCAGAATAAAGCCAAGACCAAGAGTAAATGATGCTCTTCAAATCACTTGTGCAACTTGGCCAATCTGTTCAGCTTACATAGTAAACAGGGAAATGTTTTCTTAGTTTTGTGTTTTGTCCAAGGGAATAAGAGAAGCTGAAGGAGTCTGTGAGTTATTAAGTATTAAAATAATGCACTCATCAAATACATCTGTAAAACAAACACTTGCAGTATTTGTGAAGGGAATTATCTGAGATGAAAGTTTAGTTCTCAAGTTTGAGAGGCTGTGAAAATTAGCAAGCCACTGTTTGCCTGGAGACAAAACATGCACGCCACCTGGTGGTAGAACCGAGTATTACTGAGTTTTAAGAGTTAGAAATCACTCAAAACTAAAGTAATAATAATATTAACTACTATTACTACTTTAGACTCCTAATCTTGAAACACACTTTTCTGAAGTAAAGAAGATGAATAAGACTGAATAAGATAAAACTACCTTATTTTCCCTGCTTCAGTTGTTTAGTTTCTCACTTCTA